TATTTACAGCAAATCACCCTACTGTAATTTTATGATATTAAAGGTTGTAGTACATTCAGAGAGGCCGGAATGACTTACTACAGGTAAGATTTTACTCATATGTTCAGTTCAATGTTTACAGCACACAAATATTGAAGAAAAACATTTACAGTAAATCACCCTACTGTAATTTTATGATTTTAAAGAGTGTACTACATTCATATAGGCTAGACTGACTCACTACAGGAGAAATTTTACCCATATTTTTATTCATATTATTTCAGTACACAAATACATTTAAATAACATGTACAGTAAATTATCCTACTGTAATTTCATGACTTTAAGGGTTGTAGTACATTAAAGAGGCCGGAATGACTTACTACAGGTGAGATTTTTCTCATATGTTCAGTCATATGTTCCTTCGATATTTATGTACGGTAAAAATATTTACTGTAAATCACGCTACTGTTATTTGTTGATTTTAAAGGTTGTAGTACAATAACAGAGGCCTCGCTGACTTACTACAGCTGGGATTTTATCTATTTTTTCATTCATATTTGTACAGTACACAAATATTAAAGACAAATATTTACAGTAAATCACTTTATGGTAATTTTATGACTTTAAAGGGTGTGGTACATTCCCAGAAGCCAGAATGACTTATTACAGGTGTGATTTTACCCATATTTTCATTCATATTTTTTACAGTACACAAATATTGAAGAAAAACATTTACAGTAAATCACCCTACTGTAATTTTAAGATTTTAAAAAGTGTAGTATGTTCGCATAGGCCAGACTGACTTACTACAAGTGAAATTTTACCAATATTTTCATTCATCTTTCTACAATAAACAAATATTAAAAGACAAATATTTACAGTAAATCACCCTACTGTAATTTATGACTTTAAAGCATGTAGTACATCTGCATAGGCCAGATTGATTTACTACAAGTGAGATTTTATCCGTATTTTCATTCATATTTGTACAGTACACAATATTTATTTAAAAAACATTTACACTAAATCACCCTACTGTAAATTTAGGATTTTAAAGGGTGTAGTACATTCACTGTTTACGCTGGTGCAAGCTGTTAGTAAAACTGGTCCCTAGTTGAACGTTTACTTCAGAACTGGAATCAAGTATTCACATCCATTCATACTGCAGTTGACGGGACTGATCTTCAGCAGCTTGGCTGTTGACAGAAATATGAGGAAGAACCTGATATCGTCTTATCCACTTTCCCCACACCGTGCACCAATTGATCTCTGTCAGAAGGACTACAGCATCTCCATAAAAGCTTTTCAAGAGCTGAGCCAAACATGCATATGAATATCCTAAAGTGGTTACAATGTGGAAAGCTTTTAAAGGCTTCCTTTAAGTTTAAAGTAAACAAACCTTGGAGAGAACTAAGACTGGCCAGGACACAAATTTACTTTGAGAATAGGCCGTGACCACTTAGCTGGAGACTTTGTGGCGAGATCAGTCATTATTAATGAAAGCAAAAATGCTGACAGTGTAAAAGCAGTCAAGACATTTTTTTGCAAATGCAACATATTTGAACGGCGGTGAGATGCAATTATCAGGGCTCGGCGTGAAACCATTGTAATAGGCTTCCTCAATGTTGTAACAAAAGTCCTAAAAGTTGTGCGAAATGGTTTGGAACTAAAAATGTCAAGGTCAAATCTGATTGGCCTGCTCTCAAGCACCAATGAAAGCTGAGGTGCAAGAGTTTTTCGGGTTGACGTCTCTCTTAATCACTCAGTTACTCACATGAAAAAAGCCAATCATCACGTTTTCAGTTACACCACTAGTGATGGGAAGTTCGGATCATTTTACTGACTCAGATCTTTGAGTCTCGTTCATCTCTTTTTTTCGAGTCATTTCGTTTATTTGGTTCAATTAGCCAAAATATTATTAAAATGTTATGAATTGCTTCCAAACACATTTACAACTAGCCCAAAAGGTTGATCACATGACAAATAAGTCATAAATAGATTAATATAAGGAGAAAATAATAATTAATTATTTACCTGCTTTTTAGTCCCATGAAGGTATTGTTGTCTCTTTGCTCAGCTCAAATTTTCTTGTCTTCAAATCTCAGTTGCTCCTTTACGTTACACTGACAGTCACATATTATCTTAACCAATGTACACAGTCTGAGCCCATAGGAGCCATGATAATTAGTTCACCTTTCGAGTCTTCTGGTTCTTGAGTTGTTTGTTCATCACTTGACAGAATGACTCAAACCCGAGGACTCGAGAGATAAACGGATCAATTCTCTTTCCGGCTCTAAATTTGAAAAAGCGTATATGATTGGCCTGTGGTGAACGAACGAGTCAAACCCGATAGAGGACTCGAGAGGTCAACGGATCAATTCTCTTTACGGCTTTAAATGCATATGATTCTAATCACTCCCTGAGAGGACTCATAGTTCCTGAGTCATATTGAAGATTTGTTCAAAAGAAACGAATCGTTCAAGAACGACCTATCACTGAACACCAATTTTCAGACACACCAATCATCATCACTGGTTGGTTGTGTACCACTCCTGCCCCTAACACACACACTCTAAACCGCTTCAGTGTTCTCAATTATAGTAATGCACATTTTATTGTCAGTAATGGTAACGACGTTGTAACAGGGGAAACAGTCATTCGTTTCATTACTCGTTACTTAAAATAGTATCTCTGTTAGTAATGGCATTTATTTATTGTGCTGTTATTGCCATCACTGCTCATATAGATTTGGAAAAGTAATAAAAATAATAATAATAAATGAATTCATAATTTCCTGTAAACCACAAAAAAAAATAAATAAATAAATCTGTAAATTAAAGAAAGCAATTCATTTCGAGTTCATTATGTCAACACACAATAGATTTTTTTGTAGAAATATTTATTGCAGAGGAGGTATTTTTTATGTACATGCTATCACAATATTACACAATATAAATCTACCAAATATCTCCATATGTGTATGCTATAAGCTTGTCATAGAGCATTTGATATAACAAGCACATAATACAGTGGGTAGGGTACAGTTTCACTCACTATACAACTCGTAACAGTCCAATAAAGATCAAAGATTATTATCATTTTTTTTTAAAGTTCTATCAAGGGCAGTGAAACATCAGTCTTACTAATTTCTCATTATCATGCAGAAGCAACGAGAGTTAGAGCTAAGACAATACCGCGTTAAGTAGTAGGAGTGTCCCCCCCAACACGCGACAGTGGTGGGACACGCGTGGGGCTCAAGTAAACGAGCTAAATAACCAAAAATCAATCATAAATAGATAAATAATCACTTCTGTAAACTTCAAAAAACTAAACATTGCACTAAGACAATGTAATAGGCAAGGTTACCATTAACATTAACAGGTCATGAGTTGAGTGCTTACATCGTACTACATAGAGATCAACCGAGGACCCGCAGATGAGTAAAACTTGTAAACTAGAGGGATGCACTACGATACAACAACCATTCCCAGAAACATTCTCTATGTATAACAAAGTTGGTCAATTTTACACATCCATCTAGGCATACATTAAGAACAGACTCTGGAGAGCGTACTGTTCTCAGCAGAGTGTATGAGATGACCAGACAGTTTCGAAATATAGGTTGCTGAAAGTTCCCTTTAGTGTACAGAGAAATCTATAGCCTGATGAGGATGGCAGAAATCCGGGATTCTAAATCATAAACAGATCTCTGTTCCCAGAAATCTGGGAAGGTGGCGAATAGCTTTTGATTGGTCAATAAAATACTACTTGGGTCATTCCTGCTTTGCTGTATTTTTTTTTTTTTTGTAAGATGTGTTAAACTCACAATGTTAAACAAGGAGATCATGTAAGTTTGATTTCTTTTATTACAGGATGAGAATGAAACGAACGTGAAGTGAATTTCAATTTACTTTTTAAACCGTTTTATATTTAAATATATATTTTAATGTCATTTATTTCCTGTGATTTCAAAGATAAATGTTTAGCATTGCTGTTATAGTCACAAAATTCTTTGCTTTGCAATGCAAAGTTTATAACAGTCAATTATTAAACCTCTGATAGGCTGATGGCCATGTGGCATTCTGCAGTATCAGCACTCGTACAGCCTCTTCACCCTTGTGTTTTACTCCGCCCACATACAGTGACAGCAGATCAATAAACTCACAACAGTTTGACAATTATTGCAGCTGTTGGACAACATAATGGACTGTTGCTTCTATTTTTGGCAAGAATGTTGTTGTTTAGATTGCAACTATACAGTTTTTTTTATAAGGATAGTGCCTATTTTTTAAATATTTATAATGTCAAGAGATTCAGGCCCTTAGCCTGCCATTGAGCAGAGCAAAGAGAGTTGATATGTTTCCACAAGATGGTGACAGAGACTGCATAATACATTAAAGGAGGAAAAACGTACAGCTGATCAAATCCCTAGAGTCGATGTCTCTCTTTTGTATGTTGTAATGCTGTATTTATACCATAGTAATTTTCTAATATTTGCTTCGGCTTTTTCTAAGTTAATTATTATGATCTCCCGATTGCAACAGAGAAATAATGGGAAATATCTGTAGACTGATGGCATTTCATGCTGTTCTTAAAATCTTAAAATGCCAACAAAATTCTGTTTTGTCATCACTTTAGATATAATGCTAAAGAATCATTACAATACTAGCTCTAAAGTGATGTTGGTGAAGTAGCAAAAGTTTGGTTTCTGCTGTTCTGATGTCAGCTGCAGTTGTGAACAAATGGCGGAAGAAAGTAGTTCCTCATGCAATAGGATTTTGAGACTTTCCGTTTGATTTTCTTTTTAATATACATAATATAGCTGTCGAACTGCTGTAAATACGCAATATCACACTCGTAGCAGAGCGATATGGCTGTATATCGTCACTGGTGGGACACTAAGCACACCTCCCACCAGTGACGATATATTGTACTGCTACTCTTGTATGTATATATATATATATATATATATATATATATATATATATATATATATATATATATACACACACACACACACACACACACACACACACACACACACACACACACACACACACACACACACATTTTTTTGGGTTTTTGTTAGGTTTTCTGAGCATCAAATTAGCATATCAGAATGATTTCTGAAGGATGATAGGACTGGGGTAATGATGTAAAAAAATCAGCTTTGAATCACACAAATAAATTACATTTTAAAATATATTAAAATAGCAAACGGTTATTTTAAATATATGGAGATCAAATTTAGAGAATGAGCCTCAATTCTTTAATATTTTTAACCATAACATGTAATTATATATTTTCATGTTGTAAATATTACTATTATACTAATAGTATTACTACACTGTAAATTTTGAAGCTGAATCATATTAACCATATGAGTCCATTGAACTTATATACTGTTAACCTAACTTGCGTAACTTATAAAATTAAGTTAGAACACGGTTAACATACTTTGAATTACAATGGCTAAAAAGATATGTTGTCACACAAAGTGATCATGTAATTGTAATACTGAAATATTATATTGTATTATTAAAATATTACTTCTTTTCTGCCGTATAATTGTTCGGAAAAATATAATAATGATAATAATACAAAATAATATAATTTTTATCTCTACTACACATACACACTTATTCATATTTTGTGTTTTCTTTTATATATTTCTCGTTTCTAAATATTGTATGCAGTTTGAAACTGGTATAGTAAAAAAAAAACACTTAACAATGTTGGACGGATTTCTGTCCTATCCATTTTCTTTAATTTGAGCAAATATCATGTAATCATTAATAATGTTGATAGATCAGATGACCAGGAAAAAATTCCGCTGAAAGAAATTATGAAAAATCAAAACAAAACTGCAGAGCAGGAATGATCCACCTGTAGTCATGGGAAGATATTTTTCAGAAGTCATATATTTCCCCCACTGTGGAGAGATGGGAGCGTGACATCATCTGATTCTCTCACAGAATGACATATTTAGGTACATTTTTTTTTCTTTTTACCTCTTTGGTACATATAACATATATACATGGTATAACCATTTCTTCTGTATTCTTGCTAATTCATAGTGTGCACATACAAAACACAAGAATCTGTCAATACATTTAAAAACCATTTAGTTACTGTAGGATTGGGTCAACACAGTTTGAAATCGCAATGTCAACATATATATGAATATTTCATAACGAGGCATTGCACTGTACAACAGCTCATGCCTCGTGTTTGGACACCATTACCTTGACATCATTACAGATTACCATTGACCATGTACTGAAAAGGCATTCAAGATATGTTAACATTCCAACAGTAATTTAGATACTTGGTTAAACTCATGTCAGTGGTCTCTGAGGAGGATTCAAAATATTCTTTTTAAGAAATCGATACAATTTCCAAAAATTCAATACAGTAAGAAAAAGATGTTTTTTTTATTTGAAACTGATGTAATCATCATAGAATGTTTAAAGAAACTGAGGCTTGGGTCAGAATTTGATATGAGATATTGGAATTTAAGTGTTCTTATTAGCTATGTTTCCATCCATCAATTTTTATGTAAATTTTGGAATATCTCATACACTGTGAAAATGCTGGGTTCCACACAATCTATTTGTGTTGGGACAACATGATGGAATCAAATTATACGTATTTGTTTTTACAAATTTAAGTTGATTGAACATAAAATTATAAAAAATGTATAAGTTTTCAGTGTAAAAAATGCTCAATGGAAACCGCAAAATGCTCGTACATTTACATTTATGCCCACAACTAAGATAAAATATTTTATAAACTACGATTTAGCAAATGAACTCCAGCGTGCACATCCAAAAAAGTCTTCAGTAGACTAATCAGCTGACTGACCACATTTTAAAACATCTGAAATGTTGTTTTAGTCATTCTAAAATCCCTCAGCCAAAGTCTGTCATCAAAGTGGTTCGGTATTATTACTTCAAAAAACTGTATCAAAGATCAGTCTCGCAGCTCCAAAAGCCACAGCGCATTCATTGCGTTTCATCTTCTAAGATGCAAGCAGTGCATAGAGGCGACCTAGATAGAGAGTTGTTTACGACACCAGACCCCGTCTTCACTTTTGTCCGACAACCTCATCCCCGTGCTCTTCACTACTGTTTGCAACACCACCTCGCTCTCCACTTTCATCTGTGGCAGCACAACCCCCCAGCTCTTCACTTTTGTCCGACAACCCCATCCCAATGGTCTTCACTACCGTTCGCAACACCACCTGGCTCTTCACTTACATCTGCAACAGTGCACCACCAATTAAAAAAAAAAAAAAAAAAAAAAAACACAGTGGCTTTTACTACTGCAGCAAATTCCATTTTTCTTTTTGAAATTTGGCGCCAGTTTTTCAGGAAGTAACGATTTTGTTCTCTTTGATTCATTGCACTGTAAATATGCTGTCCCAACAAAAATGGATTATATTAACTTAATAAATTTAAGTGGATTAAACATAAAACAATTAAGTTGTCCCTAAAAAAATGTTAAGAATTGTTTTGTTTTCAGCAGCAAAATCTGTGTGTGTGTGTGTGGATAGAAATGGTGCTTTATTTACAAAAGTTTTATGCGAAATTCCAGTTTTGAGCATAAATCTGATTAGCATATTTGGATGAAAACATAGCTATTGTAAAGACAATAAAAGAAAGACATTCGAGGCAGAAACCTTAATGATTGTGCCCTACGCTGAGAGAAATGAAATCTATGGTCCCGTTAACTGAGCGGTGGGCTTTGTATTTAGTTTTTCCCTAGCGTACCCCATTCAGAAAGCATTTACAATTTCGCAACATTGGTAATATATAAACTAAACCTCTTTTCTTTTTTTCTTTTTATTTTCATCAATAAATATCTGTGACATGGGCTATGACAAAGGTTTCACATCTCTCATTACAAAGTAAGACTGGTACAGGACTTTTTAAATAGGCACATTCAGGATAATATATCAGCAAATTTGGAAGCATTGGAAATGTGTTTTGTTATTTTACTAGCTGTTTTTAAATTCTAGTCAAGAAAATTAAAAGGTGTTGCAGATGTGCACATATGATCAGAACGGCATAAAACAGCAAGGCCAAAGAGACAAACAAGGGAAAAAGTGAATGAAGTCATGTCAAGTTTTCGTCTGTCTTTCTAAGTATGCTATTCGCTAAAGTGCTACAGGCTATTTTCCTAGCAGCCGTGTGAAATTCGGCTCACTGTACAAATGTAGTGTCTCTATTACGCTGTCGAGGTGTGAGTTCTTAGATTTATTGGATTTGACCTCTATCTTTGGCAAATATATATATTTTATTTACTCAAACCAAACGATGACGTATGAAACAAAAACAAGGAAATGGATCAGGCTTACTCCATGACGCTTCATGCATGGTCCACACCATCCTATGTAACAGGAACTTGAACAATCTTGTTTTGTGGAAGCCACGGTCAAGGAGAGGCTACAGATGCAGCTGTTATGAGAGTTCAAAATGTTAATGAGGATACATGTGGTGAATATAGGCATCTTGTTTACATTGCACATAAAGAGTTGCATAATTGTAAACTACCGTTTCTATTTAAAGGTTCAACCAATACTTTATAATCTGGAATGCCTGGTGAGTTGTTGCATTTTTTGTATATATGTGTTTTTTTTTCTTTAATTTTATTCCAAAAAACACAAAGGGAAAAAAGGTTGAAGAGAAAGGCAGCTTGTGCGACTTCTTGATTTTCTTCTCCAAAACACCACCAATTCTATTAAAGTTCAAATTCCTTGGTGTATTTATGAAAGAAAAAGCACATACAATGGAGGACTAACTAATGGTTCACTCGGGTAAAGTGTCATGCCTTTTTTGTCGATGCTTGATCATCAAAGTCCCATGGACAGACATCTGCCGTTTTAACACCACTAGAATTTGAACTTTTCTGTTTGCCACCGGTGCCCCTGTTGGCCTCCTTACTAGTTGCTGCCTCTTCAAAATCCCAAGGACATACGTCTGCTTGTTTGCTTTTTGCTAATGCAACATTTGGGCTTTTTTGTTTTTCCATTGAAACATTTCCCTGACTACTATCAACATCCCACGGACAAACCTCGGCCATTATTTTAGACTGGCTCACGGGTCTTTCTTTTGTCTTGCCAGAGCTGAACTTTGTGTTTGATTTCATTTTGTCCTCATCTGGACCCTTTGTGTTTCCTCTTTCCAACTCTAATAATCTGACAGGGGAATTTCCCTTCTTTATAGCATGGGTCTCCTTTGATTTAGGAACCTGAGAAGAACAAGGGGTCTTTTCAGAGGTGGGACTTGACATAGTCTCAAAGTCCCATGGACACACGTCTGCTTTAGAGGGCGGCTGCAGTGAGCTGCCTGTGGATTTAGTAGGTTCAGAGAGAATACTCTTTGCTTTGACCTCTGTAGGCGTAGTACCCTTGCCCTTGACTTCAGTAGGCGAGGAGCTTTTTTTGCCTTTGATCTCAGTTGGTGTGGTGCCCTTTTTTGGTCTGCTCTGATCAGGGGAGCGAGGGGAGTCCTTTGGCTTGCTTGATACTTCCTCAAAGTCCCATGGACAGACGTCTGCTTTTAAAACCTTGGCAACCTCTCTGGAAGCCTGTTGTTGAGACATGGCAGACTTAGTATTGGAGTGAGGTTTTGGCCCTGTTGGCTGACCATGATCCTCGTTTCCTTCCTCCCACGGACATATGTCTGCTCTATCTGCAGCTTTCTTGTTTGGATGCCTGGCCGCAGAAGGTGACTGCTCTGCTCCTTTTTGCTTTTGCTGTTGTGACTTTGTCGTCTTGCTGCTACCTCCACGAACTGTGTTTGTTTGCTCAGGAGCAATAGACACATGTTTCTGGACTTTATTTTCGGAGGGAGTTGGCAAATCCTCCACTTCCCAAGGGCACACTTCTGAGAGGTCACACAGGTCTTTCCCCTTGGCTGTTTCTGAGCAAATGGAGGGCTGGCTTCCGCTCATTTGTGGCTTCATTATACCCGTTTTAGCTGCTGTCTGCTTGTATTCCACTGATTGACTGACAATCATCTTCGGATAACCTTCTTTTTCTTCAGCTTCAGCTGAGGTCTTGCCCTCACTGTTCTTTTGATTGGCTTTCTTTGTTGAATCCTCTACACCCTGGGCCTTTCCTGTTAGACCAAGAGTTTTCTCTTTGGCACTGGCAATAACGCTTAGAGATTTCTGCAGCATGGATGTTCTGGGGTGAATAGGTTTCTTATCAGCTGTCAGATTGTGAGCGCTGGCTGACTTGCACACCAAGGGAACCGACTCTGTTGACTCACTGGCTACATCAATCTTTTCAGAAGACTTTTTGACCAGCTTTTTTCCCATTAGGGTTTCGAGAAGAGAGCCCTCTGTGGTTGTGACTTCCATCTTGTCAGTTGCCGAACTGCTGGAATCTTCACTGTGGTCTCGAACATGGTCGTAACTGCTGTGGGACTTTTTAAGGGAGAAAACTTTGCTCTTTAAGGATTCATCTTTAGCAGGCTTAACAGAGTGTGAGGGATCAAAAGGATTCTTTCTCAGCACACAGATGCTGTTATGGTTGCTCCCGTGTTCACCTTGGTCTTTGTCGTCCCGGCTACACTGGCGTCCCATTGTCTCTGGGATCTCAGTGATGCGTCGCATGAGAGAGCGGCCTAGGCCCTTTTTGGAGCTTCGCTTCTTCTGCAGGTGAGGATTGTTAGCCAGCATCTTTTTCCTCTTGTAAATCTCCAGTTGAGAGTAGAGTTTCTTCAGCTCTTCCTGTGGATTTGGAGACAAGACGTGCAATTAACTCACAAGGTGTGTCTAGATGTAGAAGTGTAGAAATGGAATGATTGTAGTTACAGTGAAGCAGACGCTCTATTGCACAGAAAACATGCAGAACTAGTCTTTATATGCAACTACAGACAGTGCCTCGAAGACGTAAGACCAAACCAACATGCTGTTTTATAGACAGGACAGTCTGGGACGGTGTCAAAAAACGAATATTTTGTGTTTTATTGTTAGGTCTGAAACAGTCTCTGAAGAAGTATTTAGTACAGAATCAACAAACGTTAGACCAAGAGCAGAACTTTATCCCATTAGCAAAATGCCCAAAATTTGTCTTCAGTGAGAGACTTCTTCAGCTCTAACAAACAAACAAGAACCTCTGCTCACGTTGGTACGTTTTTCCCAGAGACTGTCGCAAGACCTTACGCCACAGCCATTAATAGAACTTAGCTGGCCCATTTCCTCTGGTGTCTGCAATAAAAAACTGCCATGGCTCAGTATGTTTGTCAGTTATAGGACAACGGGTCAAAAGATATTTACAGATTATGAAATTTCAGGTAATTACCAAGGCAGGATAGAGTCAAGGGGAAAAGGAAATGGGAATGAAGAGAGTAAGGCACCTACCCGGATATCCTCTGGGTCCAGACTGTGCTCACTCCAAGCAGATGTGATACTGCTATTCAGGTATGACCCAGACCGCCCCATGTCCAATTCATCTTCGTAAGCTTCTGTAGCAATGTCATCCCTTAGATGTGTGCCCGCAAACAAGAACTGTGGAAAGGATCAGGAATAAGATGAGGAAAGTTTTATCAAGTTTCTCAACAAACTAAATCTGATTAGTAGATTTACCTTTGGCACAAGCAGCAACCCCAAAGTGACAGTCACCGTTAAGTGTGTATGAGCAAAGAAAAGCATCAGCATCCAGTCTGGGTGCAATTCAGGAGCAAGTGTGAACCTGTGAATGGATTTAAAGAACAAATGATCTTATACAATTTATTATTTATATGACCAATCACCACCTGCATAAAAAACAAAACTATGGTAAATTATTGTAATTACTATAGTGTTTTTAAACCATAAAAAAGTAAAATGTATTATGCTGTATATGTTTACAGCAAAATAAGATATATACTGTATTATAATAAAATGAACCTTATAGTTATTTAAAACTGCAGTGTATTGGTAATTTGTTTATATTACCACAGCAACTATAGAATAAACAGTCTAATTAATGTTTTATTATAACATGGTTAAAAAAAAACCAATGAATCCCACATGAACATGGGGAGAACATGCAAACTCCACATAGAAATGACAACTGGCCCAGCCGGGAATCGAACCATTGACTTGTCGGCTGCACAGCCATGATGCGAATCTCTCGTTCCCCCACATCCCAAACTTGCTCTTTTGGATTGAGATCTGGTGACTGTGGAGGCCATTTGAATACAATAAACTCATTGTCATGTTCAAGAAACCAGTCTGAGGTAATTTGCGCTTTACGACATGGCACGTTATCCTGCTGGAAGTAGCCATCAGAAGATGGATACAATGTGGTCATAAAGGCATGGACATGGCCAACAACAATACTCAGGTAGGCTGTGCCATTAACACAATGCTCAATTGGTACTAATGAGCCTGAAGTGTGCCATGAAAACATCCCCCATACCATACCACCACCACCAGCACCCTGAACGGTTTATACAAGGCAGGGTGGATGTATGATTTCATGTTGTTGACACCAAAATCTGACCCTACCATCTGAATGTCGCAGCAGAAATCGAGACCCGACAACGTTTTTCCAAGCTTCTATTGTCCAATTTTGTTGAGCCTGTGTGAATTGTAGCCTCAGTTTCCTGTTCTTAGCTGACAGAAGTGGCACCCGGTTGGGTCTTCTGCTGCTGTAGCCCATCCGCCTCAAGGTTGGACGCTTTGTGCTTTCAGAGATGCTCTTCTGAAGACCTCAGTTGTGACGAGTAGATATTTGAGTTACTGTAGCATTTTTATCGAATCAGTCTGGCCATTCTTCTCTGCCCTCTGGCATCAACAAGGCATTTGCACCCACAGATCTGCCACTTTTTTTTGGAACATTCTCTGTAAACCTTAGAGATGGCTGTTTGTGAAAATCCCAGTAGATCGGCAGTTTTTGAAATACTCAGACCAGCATGTCTGGCACCAACAACCATGCAACATTCAAAGTCACTTAAATCCCCTTTCTTCCCCATTCTGATACTCGGTTTGAACTGCAGCCAATCGTCTTGATCATGTCTACATGCCTAAATGCATTGAGTTGCTGCCATGTGATTGGCTGATTAGAAATTTGCGTTATCGAGCAGTTACACAATAAAGTACACAATAAAGTACACAACATAAGTACACAATAAAGTGGCCATTGAGTGTACTTTTGAATGCATGCTGTGTTTATTTGTGCTTAAACTTTTTTTTTCTTCTGCAGGGTTATCTGTGCTGGCCTGCTGGGAGTCTGTCTTCTCTGGACTAAGTTTGCAGCTCTGTTGCTTCCAGCTCTTTTAATGCGATTGGAAGTTGACTGTCCTTTTGAGATGACAGATGCACAACTGCACTGAATTGCCTGGACATGTCCGTACACACAGACCTTTTTAAAGTTTCCCTCTTGCTGTTGTTACATCACCTTCTGAGATTTCTGAGGTAAACTAGAAAGTCCCTGTGTATGCTGAAAACACAGGCTGCCACGATGCACTAATTACTTTTTTTTTATGATGAAAGGACATGTGTGCTGTTACACCAAAATGCAGATACTTAACTAACATATCCCATGGCTCTATACTACGATTAATTACTGTAGGAACAGTGGAGAGAGCAAAAGGCGATGCAGCACTTCTAAAAACCACATGCCCTCTCTTTGAAGTCAACGGCCTTTATCTTGTGTAAGAGTTCAAGCTAAGTCCCTGCCTGAATGAGTGCCTCATTACTGCTGAAGTTATTCACACGCTCAACAGCCCTAAACTTTAAAAGGCAGTACTGCTCCATCAGGCTACAGTGCATGAGCTTCCTCAAAAATGTATTCAAAATGAGCATAAGTAGTAAAAACAGATCAAATTGTCCAAACAGCCATGAGAGAATAACCACGAGGAGGCTGACAGCATAAGCAGTAATATCAATAGAAATCTGACCAATCAGAGGTGCTTTAAACATACAATGACTGTTTCAGATGTGGCTGATCAGACACATAATCATTTTGCTTTCTTAATAATACACCATCAACCTCCTCTCCACCCAGAAAAGAATGGATGGTGAGTGAGTATTTCAATTCCAAGGTTTATACGTTTATATATGTTTAAGAGGAGTGTCGGAGGAGGGAAAAAGGGAAGGTCCGTAAAAAATTTGCATAATAAAGGGAGTGTCGGTTTAGGCATGCGCTGATTTTTAAGTGAAAACAAACACACAGACACAAAGGAGAAAGACTGTGTTTACATGGACATCAGTAATCGAATTATTTTCCAAATTATTAAATGGTGGACTTTAACTGCAGTTTGGCACTTTCATTCAGGAATTTCATTCATGCCCCTCTTGACAAATGAGATATTTAATTCAAGGAACTGCTGTAAGCGTGTATTTTTTTATGCAATGTTTGTTACCGCACGGCGAATGAGATAAAAAAAACACACCGCATTTCTTGGTAAATTAGATGCACTCGGTAGGTAGCGTCAGAAAGCCGTGTGTGTTATTCCTGTCACAAAATGCAGTGAAAATCCTCCACGACGGTAAGTTTGATTGTGGTGCTTACATGTTTACACTCAGAGAGCATCTTTCAGTCTATAATATTGTAGTGATATTAACGTACTGTAAACTTTATTAACTAAGAAATCATTTGACAAAGGTCTGTCTTTAAACACTGAAAGAGTACTGCTGATGATATGAACTAACATTGCCTCTGAATAAACAAAAAAACAAAAATCACTGATCACTAACTTACCAAATCTGTAGAGACAGGACAATCAACACCAACTGGAGCTGCGTCTTTATTAGTAGGAGACGAGAGGCAAATCTGAATTTTACCATTTCCAGATGAGAAAAGCTCTCGGGTAAAAAATGTTCCTTAGACACACGTTTTTCTGTCGAGCGTCGCATCCACTGTAAGTCCAGCTGCACTCTCATAGCGGGAAAATGAAAACAAAACCTTCACTGCAGCAACTTTTAAAAGCAACACTGACGAACCGTTGTTCTCCTGTTTGGGAAAACAACTTGGCATCTCTCTGTCATCTGAACACTGTAACAGGTTAAAACAGTATCCGAAGCTATCATGCAAATTAATGAAGTTGCACCGCATAAACAATAGAGCACGCTGATTGGTTTAAACCAAGTCTTATGAATGAATGCAGCACACTCGGAGCTGTCATACAGTACTCCCAAGTACAGACGTCCAGTCTACATGCTGGAATACACGCTAAGATCTCATGGCCGTGACACAGCTTCAAAAGTTGCTCGAAATAACGAAATAACGCAAAAACAACCAATTTTCACTTTTTAGTGAAATATATGTGTACTAATAGTGTTTTTAGCAGTGTGGGACACATATACGACTGTCAACAGCTCAAAATAATGTGTTTCGTGACCCTTTAAGACTTATGCTTATTCTCTTTTCATGTGTAATCAGGTGTTTTGCAACAAGCCTCTTGCTTATGTTTTGAAATTATGGTTTTAATACTCCTGCAATCAATGTTTACCTCTACCACAGCTACCCCAGATCGTAGATGGTTCATGTTGGATGTCCCTGCAAAGCTAATTTGGTGGACTGAAAGATTGTTTATATTTTATTTAAATACGTTGCAAGATATTAACATTTTAAGAAACTTAAAACATTTGTGCATCAGCTTACACCCAGAATGCTTTGGAAAAAAGACCCATAAAACTTCCTATGGGAAAATAACTTTTTTATGGGTAAACTGTAGCTATACTGACTTAAAGAAACATTTTTTTGAAAATAGGCTCAGTTTACAATTCCCCTAGAGTTAAAAAAAAAAAAGTTGATATCGGGGTCTGGCAGAAGCACTTTTAGCCTAGCTTAGCTTAGCATAAATCATTGAAACAGATTAGACCATAAGCATCTCACTCAAAAATGACCAGGAGCAATTTGTTTTTAGCTTCGGTTACTCACCTTAAAATGTGGAATATGGCCGAGAGGATGAGCTCATTGTGAACTGCGATGGCCATGTAGCGTGGTTCGTGATATGCCGATGGGACGGTCCTCACCGCAAAGCAAAGATATACACCCCAAAGAAGAAACAGGAACTCAGCTGTTTGAGAAAAGTGGTAGAGTTAAAACACACTTAACTAGTTCTTGGGACCAACCAATTCCCAAATCTAATGTGGCTGTCAAAACCATTCTGTTACAACCTAATATAGCGAGATTGAAATACTTGAATGACAGAGTTGAAAAAAACATGCAATATAGCCATTTAGATTGCTTGTATTCTCTGGACGCCGCTTGACAGACAATTGCAAATAAAGCTGTGGAAGGTATAGTCGAAAGTTTTACAGTGCCCCATCCCCAGCTGGCACATTCTATCCAATGTTAAGCAGTCAGCTGGCCTGACATCAATAAGCGTGTTCCCCCCAGTAAAAATCTGTCATCATCAATGTGACATTACACTGGTCCAGGTGTGAGATTGGGCACGTTCCAATCTGTCATGCCTGAAGAAAAGACATCAGGATAAACCTTTGTGCTGAATTTGATTTGTCACGGCTGGGCTGATGCTTCCTGTGAGCTCCGCTATGTTTTAGTAATTAATGTCAAGGCAGCCTTAATTCACCTCTTCTTTGGCTTGTTTTAAATGAACACTATAACCTGTAAAGATTTACCACAGTGGATATGTCTGGCATACTATTACGCTGCAATAATGCACAATTAATAAAATGGTGTATGAGTCAAAATATAAAGTTGAAGTCCTCCTGAATTATTAGCCCCCCTGTATATGTGTTTCCCGAATTTCTGTTTAATGGAAAACAATGTATATCAACACATTTCTAAACATAATAGTTTTAATAACTCATCTTTAAAAACTTATATAAAATTTATAAAATAAGATATATAAAATATTGCTTAATATTATTGTCTAATAAAATTACCTTAAAATGGTTTAAAAAATCAAAACTGCTGTTATTGTAGCTGAAATAAAACAAATAAAAAACCCAAAAGGTTAAGGTAACTCAGACCATTTGAGGAAACCGATTGCAACAAACCATTTAAGTTCAAAAACTAATCCTAATGAGTACTGTAAAACCTAATAAATAAAGAGAACTCAAACCAACTGAGTACTGTAAACCCCAATAAGTTGAGGCAACTCAAACCGTTTGAGGAAACTGATTGCAACACACCATTTGAGTTAAAGAAATAATCTAAATGAGTACTGTGAACTTACACCATTTAAGTTGAATTAATAAGGTATTTAATTAACTCATTACCTTTAACACTGAGTCTTTTCAAATGAGTAGAATTATCTTCCAGTTATCTTCTAAATTTTGAGTTAACTACACTCATTTCATTTGATGAAGTTGACTGTTAGGTTTTACAGTGCAGTGTTCATTTCAGTGGATTTCAACCACACTGGATGACTCTGCTAGTAATATATTCTATCTGGTGTTCATTAAAATGCCTAATAGTTTTAAAGCAAGCTCTTAGGTAACACATTCACTTACCCACAGCAATCATGTAGTCCCAGCGGTCCAGCAGACACATGCTGAACTGCAGTCCGTCAGTGGTGAAGCCCACACTGATGAGAGCGAGGTGCCTGTTTGGATTCTGACAAACAGCGGAGGTCCAGGCTATTGCGAACCATAACACGATCAACAGGATGATACACAGTAGACGCAACACTCTCCAGCTGGTCATGTAAGGGATCCGCTGGGCTGTACGTGACAGGAACACCTTGAGGACCCTGAAAAACAGCATCAACAACCATTGTTTCATTATCACCTCTGTACTGCAGCTAATGTGGGAAAATGAAAACCCCAAAATGATTTTCATTGTTTACTCATGTGAAAAAGTTCACAAAAGAAGATATTCTGAAGAATGTTGGAAAAAAGCAGCCATTGACACTTATACTACAGGAACAAAATTACTATGTAAGCTAATGGCTGTTTATTTTTCCAACATTCTTCAGTATATCTTCCTTTGAGCTCAATGGGAAAAAAAAACTAACTCAAGCAGGTTTGGAACAAGTGAAGGATGAGTAAATCATGACAGCATTTAATTTGTTTGGGGAGTGAAATGTGCTTTTAAAATAGCAGCTTTTAGAAATGTACTGTTAAAGTTAGCATTTGTAGCTATTTTTGCGTCCAAATTTTGTGACATAGGTAGCTTTTCATAGGTGCTAGTGATGGGTAAAACCACCTACCCAGGCTCATTAGAATTATGTGCCCAGGGCTACATTTTTGAGAACTGAGAAATATGTACCGGGGATACATCATCTTGCAGTCTTTGTTTATACAAATCCAATAGAAGCTGCGGTTTACTACATTTTTGATGATCTCAAATTACCCAGGGAAGTTTTCTCATCTGCTCTTCTTGTAAATCAACCAGAGGCCAATGTTTACATTTCTGCATATGTCCTTCATACTCACCTCCATGAGCTGTCTTGTAATGCATAGTTGTTATCAATTGACCAAATTGAAAAAAAAAAAACACCTTCCCAACCGATAGTTTTTTTCAAAAGCAAACTAGAAGTTAAAAGGCATCACTATCATGAGTAGTTCTACTAAAATGTCACACAGCTTTTTTGGGGTTGTGTTTTACCTTTTTCTGAAACCATCCGTCGCCAGACTCAAACCCTTGGTTTGACCCTCGGTTTCGCATTAAAGTCTGATATCATTAATGCTGAGCTACCAAGCAAACCAGTCACCAGCGTCTATACAGAGGCTAGCACTGCCCCATGGCGTACATTTTTTCTGGTCGCCCACTGAAGCTAAGCAGGGCTGCGCCCGGTCAGCATCTAGATGGGAGACCAAATGGGAAAGCTAGGTTGCTTCTGGACGTGGTAGTGAGACCAGCAGGGGGCACTCAACCTGTGCTCTGTGTTGGTCCTAACGCCCCAATATAGTGTAGGGGACACCATACTGCTCAGTCTGCTCAGCCGTCTTTCAGGTAAGACAGTAAACCGAGGTCCTGACTCTCTGTGTTCATTAAAAATGAAAGGATGCCCTTCGAAAAAGAGTAGGGGTTTTACACTTGAATCCTGGCCAAATTTGCCCACTGGCTTCTGTCCATCAAGACCTCCTAACATCCCCATATGATAATTGAATTCATCACTCTGTCTCCTCACCACCAATCAACTGTGTGTAAAGGTAATTTGAGTGTCCAGAAAAGCGTTGTATAAATGTAAGGAATTATTATTATTACACAGATTGCCCCATTAAAGAGCAATTGAATTTTTGAAACATCTCGAAACAGTGATGACGTTATAAAGTCTTGTTTACTGAAAGCACATGGTACGGAGTGTATATTAAACTGGCAAGTTCATATCCGAGACAAAACACTCTTAAAGGTTTCAAAAATGCATGAAGCCATGTTTCAAAAGCAGCTATCATTAATCATACATACAGAGTTGGTAGTTAAAGTAGCTGTTGGTGATCTGTGATTTGTCTGTAAACTAATGTAAGTTGTAAGTAAATGTAAGTAATGATCAACTTTTTTAACTTCGGGTTTCATTTCTTATAAGAAATTAGTACAGTTTTAATGACTACACCATGGGTGTCAATCCCATTTTCACAGAGGGCCACTTCAGAATTACGGCTGCACTCAAAGGGACGATTAAAAGCGTAATAAATCCTTAACATACTATTCAATAATTGTCTCTTTATTAAAATACAACTTATTAAAGAAACAAATAAATAAATGCATTTGCATTAATAATGTTACTTCTTTGGGTTATTTTATTCTTTTATCAGGTAAAAAAACACATTACTCAACCTAAGCAAAAAAACATACAAACAAACAAAAAAAACAGACAAATATCATCAGACACAAGTCATTACATGTCTCCAAAACTATAACATTTCAGAGAAGCAGAACTACGGAAAAAACAAATTCTTTTAAGAGCTCGGTCTCTAAACAAACATGCCTTATGGTAGATGTAGTTTATGGTCAACATACGATATAAAGCAGCTAGAGTTCACACCAAATGCACTGTCACTCTAGACCACTCAAGGCATACTTTTCGCCACGTGCAAATTTTAAGAGTAAATGAAGACAGAAATTTTATTTAAGGTGATACATCACTTTAAGCACCCATGATG